TTTATCGCAGTTGCATGCTTGCCAATCTCGCGCCTGGTAAGGACCTGGATCCATCACACCTAGTAAGGATCAGATCCACGGGGGTGAGTGTGCAGTTTGTATTCAGAGGGCCGAGTACAAGCTGCCTGTAGACCTTCGCAAGTCTCTTTCACCGGTGTAGTGAAGGATGTAGTGAACTGTACGATGAACTCCCTCGTGGGTGAAACAGCTGATTCCGCCATCAAAGAGCTTGTTTTGATTTTGCAGCTACATGGCTCCAAGGTCTCTCAGGGGCAGCAGCGGGGCACTATGAGTCATGTTCACTGAACATATGTAGTGCAAAGAACGATACGTAACATAACACTTTTACAGATGTTGGCTAATCGCACGTGTTTCCGAGATAAGGATTCTGTTCTTGCCCTTGATGAAGATTCTACGAAGAATTTCTTCCTGATGGGTGGTGAGCTTATTTACATTTCTGACTGATTGCCTGATAACAGCTGGAAGAGAACTGTTAATCCTGAAAAAAAACCTGCTAGAGAGATGGTCTATCAGTGTTTATTTCAGTGTTCCCGTCGAAGACTAAGTTTTGGCTGGGATTGCAGTACAACGGTGACCAATGGGTTTGGCCAGGAGGCTACTCAGTGAGTTTTATCAACAAGTAATAAATAGTAAACTAAAACTACTCGTCATGAAGCTACGAAGAACGAACATTATTGTCGACCGACCCAGTTCCGCTCCAACATCTAAGGATTTGACGAAAAACCACTCAAAACTGGCGCAGGTGTAGCACGGGTCCGCTACTCTTCAAGAGTTTTGAGATAGCGCGTCATCTAACAGCTTATCCGAGGAAATCTGCGTTATTAACTGTAGTGACGTCCTAACTAGGGAAGGTCGTCAGGTCGAAGTGGCCATTTGTGATGAGATGTAGATCACTAGACGTGGTTTTGGACGCTGATCTTGAATCTGCCTTCAAAATTTGCAAAGCGATTCTCTGAACGGAGTTATGGAGCCGCGTTTACCACGCAACAGGTCATGGGATCGGATCCCTGCTGAGCTTAACTTTTTTGCTTGTTGCGCAAACGTGGCAAAAAGTGATTTTGCCGTCACTACTACTTCAGTTCTCACCTGAGCTTGTCTGAAGAAAAGTTTGCCTCCATTTATTACTGCGCTTGGACTCCTTGTAGACTACAGTGCACTACAGTGCTTCTACAAGGAGTCCAAGCGCAGTAATAAATGGAGGCAAACTTTTCTTCAGACAAGCTCAGGTGAGAGAACTGAAGTAGTAGTAACGGCAAAATCGCTTTTTTGCCGGTTTGCGCAACAAGCAAAAAAGTTAAGCTCAGCAGGGATCCGATCCCATGACCTGTTGCGTGGTAAACGCGGCTCCATAACTCCGTTCAGAGAATCGCTTTGCAAATTTTGAAGGCAGATTCAAGATCAGCGTCCAAAACCACGTCTAGTGATCTACATCTCATCACAAATGGCCACTTCGACCTGACGACCTTCCCTAGTAAGACACGTCCTAAACGTGTAAAGTGACGTCAGTGACATGTCACTTATGTTCTACTGGGTAACTTAGTGGGCGGCGCACTTATGCAATACCACCACGCCGAAACTTACTGTTTGTTTTATTTGAAAACAGACAAAAGGATGATTGTTCCCCAAGTCAATGAACTGATGCTCTCATGCTCGGCTAGGAGATGAGCAGATGAAAGTTTACATTGATGACCGTTGAGCCAGCACAAGTTCGAAAATCAGTGTTGGGAGCAGAACGCATCATCGCATTGTGGGGCGTTTTTGCAAAATACGACCTCCCCCCATTTTCTCCTTCCATTTTCGCCACGACCCGTTTTCACAACTTACCTTCCATCTTATCAAGTTTCTAAAAGTTGTGTCTAGGTTTAGCGCGACGTAAAAGGGAAGAAATACTACTCGAGTTCGCTATGGATGTAGGGGCGTGTCAGGCAGTATGAGTGTGCCACGGCGTTAAACCCGTCTCTGCCAGTTGCTGAAGCGAGTATGCGACAACATTTGGTAGAAAACGAGTGATACAAACGATATTATACACTTCAACAACTGATGAAGAACAGGCTTGGCACCGCGCCAAACTCATCCTGCCTGACAGGCCCCTTCGTCCGCAGCGAATCGGAGTATACACGATCGTGACCTTCTTTCACTCTAACGTACGCCCTCTCTTCCTCAGTGGTTAAATACGACCCCCGCTGTGGTTTCCACAACGATGATGTGCTCTAACTGGGAGTGTGGCTACGGTCGTAGGGATGGTCCATAGGCGGGCACCCAGTCATTGCCTGTCCCCACGGCGCTTCTCCTGTCAGTAGTTTGCCGCTAGAATACGTAAAAGATTCACCATAATGACACGGTGGTTAACTTCTCCTTGGTTTCTATTCAAGAACTATTCGCAATCGATCAGACGACACTTATATACGCTATACAGTATACCAACATTACACTGACAAGCTAAGCCACAGAATGGAATATCGCACGTCGTAGTTTACCACGACACTAAAGCCCTAACATAAACTATTAGCTTATTAAGTATGTCCATGTTGCACCACAGAAACCTACAACACACATTTCTTTTAAAGGCCGGCTTCACAAGCTGGGGTCCGGGTCAACCAGATTACAGCGCAGGCAATTGCGCCTATATGCAGCAGTACTCTGGATTCAGGTCAGTTGGTTTTGCTTCTCATCTACATCTCTTTATTTCTATGTTTATTAGAATAACCCATCCCAGGGCACATCATTGGCTGGGG